TCAAGACAGCACAAAACAAACAGTCACACGACCTTCAGCCTTCAGTCTTTGCTCCCACTGGATATCAAGCCTGTCTGTTGGATCAGAAACACTGATGTGCTGCCAAGACGACCTCTGAAGAGTGGTGACCTCTGAAGAGTGGTGACCTCTGAAGAGTGGTGACCTCTGAAGAGTGGTGACCTCTAAGTCAGTGTCACTTTGTCAACTGCTCACTCAGTTTTTCTAAAGCCTCTTAAGTGTATTACTGCTTTCTGAAACTCTTCTACTTCTCTTCACAGTGTTAAGAATGCACAGAATACAGTGAGGTGTAATAAATGAACCTCCTATAGGTGTGAATGTGAGTGTGAATAGTAATTTGTGTCTATGAATGCAGCCAGTGACTCATTTACATTTAATGTGAATGTGAGTGTGAATAGTAATTTGCAGCCAGTGACTCATTTACATTTAGTCTAATGTTTTGCTTTATTGACCCCTGGTCTTCACCCTGTGACCTTTTAAAAGAAAAAAGTACATTAAAGATGTATTATATATATATAAAATGGAATTTAATGAATCGTTTTTCTGAGAGCTGGTGACGGCTTCTGTAATTCACACAGTGATGCAGTTGAAGTGAGGTTCAAGGTTTATATTCCATCAACAGATATTTATTCATCGCAGGTTCTGGGGCTTCTTCACTTCAATGTTTAATCAAATTATATATATCATCCTTGTTCGTTCTCTCGTTTAAATTGTTTTACAGTTTATAGTTTACAAATGATAGCCTATTGCTAAACATTCAGCATAGCACAGGACAACAAAATACCCCAAAGTTTTTACTGTAAAAGGGTTGTGATGAAAGTCAAGCTTCTTCTTCTTCCTTTTCTAGAAAGCTCTTTCAATGACAAAAAAAGGTTTCATGGAGAATAAAGACTTACAAATGCACGGAATAATCAGACGCTTGAATCCAGGTTGACCTTTGACCTACTGTCTGTGTGTGCACAGTGCTGTTCCAGGTTTCAGTGCCTCGAGGTTTAGAAATGATGCAGCCCGTTTTTGAATCAGAACTGAATCTCTCGCCTGACGTCGATGGCCCTCGATATAATCAGTGCCACGCACGTAACTCGAAAAATGATGCAAAATGAACCTTAAACGTAAACCTGATCAAGCACAGGAATGTACGTAGAGACATAGGCGCAGGTCAATGAGCTCAAGGCTAATCAAAACAAACATGATTCAACAAGTGATGGAGCCAGTTTGTGTTATCGTCTCTGCGGGGTATCGCTCGATTTCCCCAGAGTCTTGTTACTTAATGCTTCATTACTTCTGTATGATCTTTGCTGATTTGTTTTTATGCCACTGGGGAAGTCATTACAAATGGGAGACCACTATCTCGCACAGCTGTTCTTTCCTCGGCCGTCACTGTCGGCCGTCCTCTCACTTTGATTTATTGCTTCCTGTTGTCCTTGTTGAATTTCTCGACACGCAGTACGTGCAGCAGAAGTTTGAAACTGTCGCTTCACTGAGGCTTGGGACCGCAGCGCTGACCACAAGGCAGAGCTGCGGGGTCCAAAATAGTTTGGAGTCAGGGAATGAGATGAAAGGGAGGGATGGAACGGAAAACAAAACCACTTCATCCTCTGTCTGAGCTGGTTGTGGGCATGTCGCTGGCCTGCAAGAAGACGAAAGTTGTGTGTGGGACTAATGGCCCCTCGGGGAGTGTTGGACTGGGGCGACAGTTGAGTTAATGCTCCAAAATCTTGTTTCTGGACCAACCCTGTTAAAACAGCATCCTTATCCAGCAGTGATTAAAAAATGCATGACACAGTGGATTTGCAGCCCAGTCTATTCTGGGTGATTATCTTCTCATGTCAGGCCTTATTAGTGAGGCCAGAACTGAGGGAGCCCACTTTCACACTTCCCACAGCGTCCTCCACTTCCTCATCCTTCTTTATCTGGAAAATTTACTTTTATATTTTTCTTTTTTCAAATTAGGGATTGGATTAATCAGATTTAACACAGTCCAGGAGCAGCTTGGAGCCACACAGAGAGGAGTGTCAGAACTTAAAATCCTAATTAGAAGAAAAAAGTCTATAAACCAGTGAGAGAGATGGCACATTATCTTGGACAACAACTATGACTGACAGGACAGAGTCCATTTTCACAGATCAGACTGACATCAAGGTCTGCCAAAACCAGGGATTCAGAATAAAGTCAATGCTTGACTTATTACCACTTGTCAAGGATGATATCATTTTTTTTTCGATGGTGTTAAAGTGTCTTTTCAGGGACGTTATTCATCATCCCACTGTAGTTGACATTCAAATAGATACATCCATTTACATAATCTATGTTTTCAACTTCCCACATTTTCTCTTTTACATTTAAATTATTTCATTCCTGAGGCCTGAGCCTACGAGGCAAACTCCCTCATTTTACGGTTTCATGTCTACACAATACAACACACACACACACACACTCCCAGAGTTGTTAATTGTGGTTGCAGATGCTCGGCAGATAATATACCGTTGATTAAAGAATGAGGATGATTTATGGTGGACCGTCAGGGGTTTGGTTTTTCTTGTGAACAACACAATGACACCATCAGAAAAAGGTGAACTCTGGCCGTCTGGATGGGGTGCATTTCTTCAAAGCTTGTTTACTTCTCATATTCAATGCAGACAGGTCCATTTAAGCGAATCATCTCTCTTAAATACAACGTCGTACGACGCCATCCTCCATGATTAAAATCCTCCCACTGTGAGCGGAGAGTTTCCGACTGCGTCGCATTCGTCGCAGTATTCAGTATCTTGGAAGGCCTGAGGTAAAAAGGCGAGCGCAGGGAACCACTAATTACACCCTCAGCTTTTTTATACCCATCCATCCCACTCACTCACTCACTAAAAGTGGGGCAGAGCAGAACATGCACTGGAGGGTTGGCAGCTGCTCCTGAAGAAGCACTAGACTGAGCAAAACACAGACATCTCTGCAGGTGAAAGTCATTACACCCTCAATACTGCTGTTTGTAAAGTCACACATTTTGACTGCCATGAACAAGGAGTCCCCCGTCCAGCCCCCGCCCCTTTCTCTGTCATTAATACTAATTAATCCAGATGCTAAATATGGAGGTGAACATCAAGATAAATAACAGCTGCTTAGCTGTATCTACTGTAACTGTTTTTAATGGAGATTAATCCATACAATGGAATACAATTAAGATGAAATTGTGAAAGGCGAATTGTCAAGAAAAATATGTAAAATTATGACTCATAATATAGCTTTAAGAGATGGATTTCTGTCATCTGTTGAACACGTCGCGAGTATGAGAGCAAATAGAGTGGATGGACAATGCCTGTCTTTTTAACCATGTATTAAAATCCAATAAAATATCTATCTATTTATCTGGCCATGTATGAGAGCAAATAGAGTGGATGGACAGTGGCTGTCATTTTAACCATGTATTAAAATCTATCTATTCTAAAATATCTATCTATCTGTCTGTCTGTCTGTCTGTCTGTCTGTCTGTCTGTCTGTCTGTCTGTCTGTCTGTCTGTCTGTCTGTCTGTCCGTCCGTCCGTCCATCCATCCATTATCCTAAAGGATAATCCTTTTTTCCAGTTATGGTCCAAACTAATGATATGATGAAACACATTTTATTTTGTGAATCACTGACCCCATATATCTGTAAGACCAGTCCATTTCCTGTTTTCAGATACTGAAGTTTTTAATGGGTCAGAGGTCATGGCCATTCCTCTAATGGTGCAGCCCGTCTCCTACAACCTGTGGATTAACAAATACAGTGGTGTTCTGTTCGTTCACGTATTACAGATAATGGTATAAAAACACCGTCCTCCGTGGTCCAGGGGGATGGTGATGTGAGCAATCTGCCTCAGCACAGGAGAGGAAAGTGCTGAGGTGGAACAAGAATAACACATTCGAGCACAGATTGAAAAAGATACACTGAATGCAGAAATTCACAGAAATATAACTCCAGAGCAGGCGCGTTTCACGAGAAACAAAGAGCGGGTTAATCATACAGCAGAATGCAGAGGGAGCGCTTTTTATACCACGAGGAAAAAGAAGAAGAAGAAAAGACTTGGAATTACAAAGTCTTCAGCGTAGACTTCATAGTCATGTGACTTATCAATGCTATAACCACCAGTCAGAGAAAATGCAGCAGAGTGGGCACATCAGTTTGACCATATTACTGCATTTACAGTGTAGTATTAGTGGTAATAGTATTACAGTATTTGCTAAACTATATTAGTAAGTAATCGGAGCATGTCAGTTTCTGCTGCTGCAATCCTGCCTTTGTCTTCTATTGCAGGGGTTCCCAACCCCTGGTTTAGGGACCGGGATTTGGGTCCATAGGTCATTTGGTACCAGGCCGCAGTGGGACACAGTGAAAACATGTACTTCAGTTTTACTCATTTACTTGATTGGAAAATAATCCAGTCATATCTCTTTACTTTTTTCATGAACAGATAATCTGGAAATGTTTCAAAACAACGAACATTCAGACGCCGGTACTGGTCGGCTGGAACGGTCCTTGCTACAAAAAAGGTTGGGGAGCACTGTTCTATTGTATCTACGTTGATTTCATGCTCCGTTTAAACCCAAACATCTTCAGGTTTTGCCTGCTAATCGAGGAACATTTTCACTACGGTGGTATTTATACAATATTAGAAATCTTCGTAATTCATTTTACAGGAACATTTTCACTACGGTGGTATTTACACAATAAAATAATTTGTTTTAGTCAAGGTGACAGTGAGTGTACCAACTTTTCTGGAAAATACTAATATAAAAAAAACTTTCTTTCATTCTTTTCTTGCCTTTTCTGGAAAATACTAATATAAAAAAACTTTCTTTCATTCGTAGTTTCTCTCTGTCCGTCTGTTTGACTTTCTTATTGAATATGTGCTGAAGATATCGTTCTGAAAATGTCACAGGAATACAGCACAGTGTGAGCTGTGCCACAGTTGTGCAACGGGCACACACTGGTCAAACAGAAGTTAACAGTGTTGTGGTGTGGAGATGTCCCCGTGCTGGATTATTGTAGTTGCATTACAGCAGGAAGGTTGATTTACGGCCGACTAGAAATAAAGTACACGGTCGTGAAGGAGCGTTTAACTCACAGAGGCGGAGAGCCGCTGTTGGAGCAGGTGCAGAGACAATACTTCCTTGTTAGAGAAAGGTGGGGGAGGGAGTGAGGGAGTTAGAACATCTCCTCGCCTTTTCAGTACCTGCTGCAGGTTTTTCTATAACACGGCACACACATTATATAATATAATATTATTATATGATTGTTCCCAATGTGATCAAGCTCCTGTTGAGGAGATTAACCCTGTGATTGATTTATTAAAAAGCCTGTGGGATAAACAACTGCTCACGCTCAGTGAAAAAAGGGCCAATAATCTGGCAGCGCCCTCTAAGTTAGTTACCACTGCAATGGTGTGATTTTCCCTGACACTCGGAGTCATACCTGGGCTGTCTGCGATCAACGGGGTCATATATTAGTGAGGCCTGGAGACACATGATTTGATTCTCTGCCTGACTTGGACATGACAGCGTCTGATTTACACTAACGACGAGCTGGAACTTCGTCTGTTGATAAGCGGCTAAGCCTGGGATGGACACGGTTTCGGCCTTGCTTTTCCAGAACCCTTATCTTGTTAGAGGCAATTGAAAAAGACAATTACCTGCAGACGCTGAATTGTGGCGAACAAATGAGGTAATGTGACAGGAGACAACAAGCAAACCCTCTCCATCTCTCGCCGCGGCTGCTTGTTTGTAAATGTGTGTCCAATTTGTCCTTTGTCTTTTGTCCTTTTTCTCCCTTTCTACTTTTCTAAACATCTCACAGCACATACACCGGCACCCTGTGGAAAGAGCTTCAATAAGATAAGAAAAGATCAGACTTTCTCCTTCCCACATCGGGAAAAGTTTTGGCTCCGTCCAGTTGGTCTGTTGGTTTATCTTCAAGAAGTTCCTAAAGAGCTCTTCAGTGAGAACCTCCTGTCCTAGCACTTATCTCCACTCCTGCACCGCGCTTCTTCTCCACTTCAGCTGTCTCACCATCTGGAAGCCCAGCTTTCCTGACTAGTGGTCTCCTTTCAAGAGTTCCTCCATGAAGCTTGATTGTTAACCCTCCTCTTTGGAGAAAAGCATCTGCTAAACGCATAAATCTAAACGTAAATGTCTGCTTCTCCAATCAAGAGGTTTGACTTTCTGAAGCGGTCTTCTAATTCATTTTTCAGTTTAGGACAAATTTGAAGGGATGAGACAGATTTGAGAGATGAAGATAAAAGTGTAATGCATACTTGTCTTGAATAATACTGCAGTTAGCAGATAATTACTCTACTGAAAACGTAAGAAGTATTGCGAAGAATTTCGATGGACGATCTATGGGGGAGGATGGACTAAAGACGTGATGGTAGCACAACACGAGGTTTCCTGCGGTTTCTTTTGGTCTGAACTTTGAAAAAAACAAATGTAACATAGGTGCGGAAGAGTAACAGTCGTCACTGCAGCTAATTAAAAGCATCACACTGCGTTCTTGCTACAGCACAGCAGTTGATTAAAAAGATAATTGAATTGGGAAGTGAGATCGACCAGGGACTCCCATGTATTCTCCGCAATCAGTATACAATAGAGAAATCACAGGCGGACGTCCGTGTAAAATATTTTTCAGGCCAAGGGTGACGAGGTAGCCTTTCAGAGTGGTGACAGCGCTCCCTGAGGAAATTAACTCACATGTTACATGTGTAATAAGGTTCTATTGTCCTGTTCGTATCTCAATTAGCATCACAAAGATACGGAGATACGAAGATACGAAGCCTGCCGTACTCTTTCGAGATAATCTGAGCCCAGAGTGTTTCCAGAGTTTGAAAAACCCTTCAAAGATAAAGTTTCTTTCATGACTTCACTTCTCATCTGGAATTCTTTCTTTTTTTTTTTTTTTAAATTCATGAATAAAACCATGCTGTGCTTCAAAAGGATGAGAAATTGTGCAACAACCTATTCTCTTGCAGTTCTCCGAGATTTTTCGGCGTCACGCCCTCATGAATATGAGCTCACATCGCCATAAAGTATCTCATTAGAACTTTTTGTCTCAAACTCTTTTAAGCATGACGACACTCCGACGGCGTGATTATCTTTGGCAAGGCACCAGTGAGCCATGGGAGGCCTTTGAAGACATTTCTGAGACGCTATATGTGGTGTATTTATCCTGAGCACCACCATGCAGAAAATACACCCCAGTGGATCAGGTCAGAAGTCTGCTCTCTAACCACAGGTCTCCCTGGAGAAGAAAAAAAAGCCTTTTCATGTGCATGAGTTCATCCTAACCATTCCAGTGTACCAGGGTGAGTCGAAAAGTTCTAAGATAGTTTCTAAATCTGTCTGTTTCAGTTTTTGTTTTGTTTTTTTTCAAACTTTGAATGGAAGCCACTTAAAATATTGATTGGAACACTCAATTAACACAAAAGATGAATTACAATTAAATTGAGGATTTGTAAAAACATAGTTTTTTTTCACGTAAAGATTTTTTTCACTTACTCTCATAGATGTTTATTTTCCTAGATGTACTTGAACCAACCACAGTGTGCAGCTTTATGGGAAACAGTTTTGCTCAGTATCTTAATACATTAATACAAGATTTTTTTTTCTTTTTAGACACATTTATAAATTATAAATTTATACATAAATAAATTCTGAAGTTTGTGTTCCTGCCAGCAGTGGCCAACAGAATGTCTCAAATCCAATTAACAGAAGAGTCTCCGACTGATTCTATGTTAAAGTGACACTGTCATTTCATTCATTTCAAATGGACACCAAACATTCACCGTGATGTCATCTCTTATCAAATACGTTGTTGTTATAATCACAGATTTAAACAGAAGCTTTGGTTATAAGATTTCGAGCTTTTTCACATTGTAGTGATAATAAACCATGAGACTGAACCAAGGGGATTTTTTACAGATGACGAGTTCCAACGAAGGCCAGGGATTCTATATTTCAGACCGAGTGGGCAGGATGTTCTTCTTTCCTCATTATTTTTAGCGCTGTCAAAGTCACTCACACTTGTATTTGTGTTTTCTTTTCATCTCGCAGGAAGATTTTTTTTCTTGTCAAAAGACAGAAATGAATGTGGTGCAGGACACCCTAACCCAGATTTAAACTCCTCTTCTGTCAGGGACTGTGGACACACACTCACACACACACACACACACACACACACTGCTGCTGCTTAAATATTTACAGACATAATATTAAGTTAAGGTGAGAAATGCAGATTTATCTGACGCAGTTGAACACACACACACATTCACACACACTCATGCTCCAGCGTGGCCATTGTTCTGCTGTGAGGTGGGGGTGTGAGATTAGACTCTTACGTAAATTTGGGGGGTTTGTTGATAAGAAAGTGGCTCAGCGTCTCGCTAATGCTTAAAGCCGCAGCAGGCAAAGATGTATTGGAGCTACATGTCGTGATGCCAACAAATGTCGGCTCCTCACCACGTCTGCTCATCAGAAAAATAATCGTAAAATAATGTTTTTGCAGCTGATTGGAATGCTTCTGGATAGAGATGTTTACCATCACCCTATAGGTGGCAGTAATGAGACTCAAATGAGCCAGAACTGCAATAATAATAATAATAATGATGATGAGTCCCTTAAATATACCAGAAAGGGGAAATTTACAGGCTGCCACAGGAGGCGCCATTAAGTACACTGTTTCAATTTACGAGCTGCCACAAGAGGAGGATAGCGGGAATTATTACCAAATGCAACACTTACTGTACATGTTTTAGAATTGACGGTGTAAATCCAATATCAGTGACCAACTCTTGCATGTTTAGTCAAAAATGACACTAAAATAAATTAGGTTTATGCAAAAATAATCATGTTGCAGCAGCAATCAGTTCTTCAATCAGTACAACGCAATTGTGCCACTAGCACCCCCTGCAGTTAAGAAAGGGTTGCACTCTTCTTGATAGACTTCTGTTGACTTTCAAACCCCAGGGAAGTAAAGTTTTTTTTTTTTTTTTTTTTGCTCCACTTTACATTTTATTCACTGACATTTACACGTTTACACGAGACGAGAACTTTTTTCCCCATAATACCACTGTTACACTAAAATGACTCGGAGATCGGACCTGGTCAGACATGAGGAATTGAACACCAACATCCAAAATGAAGTGTGTCTCTTTCACTGCTATGTGCGTTTAGTAGTTCTACATATGATCTTCTTGAAGGCTCTTCTGAAATCCCTGTTGAAAATAGTGTATATGATGGGATTGACGGAGCTGTTGCAGTAGCCAATCCAAAAGAAGAGGTTGAAAAGTGCGCCGGGGATGTAGCACCGGTCTCTGCAGATGGCATGAAGACTGTAGGTGAAGAAGAAAGGGAACCAGCAAAGCACGAAGACTCCCATCACCACCGCCAGCACGAAGGTGAAACGTTTCTCGCGCATCTGGGCCACTTTGGTCTTGTTGGCCATCTGTGGTCGCTCAGTTGGGTTCTTCTGCTCCGGGTAGGGCTGTGAGGACCGAGCCGATGCCCAGGAGAGCCGACAGTTCTGCGGTGGGCAGCAGTCCGAACCCTCCACCTTCCTGCGCTTGGAGAATCGATTATTGCGCGGTTTGGAGTCTGAGGTATAGCAGCTCTCCTCCAGATCGATGTCGTCCAGCTCCCCCTGTCTTTTCTGTTGGCTTTCCGAGCCTTGACTGCTGGGACTCTCCATCTCGAACCGGTCCTTCCTGACGAAGCAGGTCTCCGACTGAGAGGGCTGCCTCTCCAAACCGTTCTTGGCCACGAATACAGTAGAGGAGCGCTGCTTGGCCACTTTGTAGATCTTACAGTAAACCAAAATCATGATAAGACCCGGGGCGAAAAAAGACACGAGGCAGGATGACAGGATGTACCAGGTCTCGTCGTTCAGCAGACACTCCCGTTCGTCATGCTTGGTCATGAGGAGAGGAGGGAAGGAGATGATGGCAGATATCACCCACACCACAGCGATCATGGACTTGATGCGCTTCGGCGTGCGCTTCAGGTTGTAGCTGACAGCCTTGGTTACTGACCAGTAACGGTCCAAGCTGATGGCGCACAGGTGCACGATGGATGAGGTGCAGAACAGCACGTCCAGAGCCAAATAGAAGGCGCACCACGTGCTCCCAAAGTACCAGTAGCCCATGACCTCGTTGGCCAGAGAGAAGGGAATGACCAGCGTGGCCACCAGAATGTCCGCCGATGCCAAAGACACTAGAAAAAGGTTCTGGGGCGCACGGAGAGCGCGGCTGGTCAGCACCGCGACGATCACCAACACATTACCAACAATGGTCAGCGAAATGATCACCGTTACGACGAGGATGATGAGTGCAGTGGCCGCCTGAGAGTGCGGAAAAGCCAGCGGTGCGTCCGTGCTGTTCTCGTCCTCGGAGCCATTTTCCACTGACAGATTCGACAGGATTAAATCCATGCTGTCTCCAGATTGTCCCTTTGTGTCATGTTTGTGATTTTTCCTCCCGCTGTTCCTCCACAACAGTTAAGAGGTTGTGCGCAGAGCTGCCCTATAGTCAGTACGGAGAATGCGCTCCTGCTCAGTAACCTGGTCAAGTCAGACCGCGCTTCAAAGAGGCTTTCCATCAAACAGCAAATCCTGAATCACCAAGGCCAAAAAGGTCCAGCGTGCATATGAAATGTGACTAAATCACTAAAATCTAAAACAAAAAAGGCCACAGACTGACAGCCAGACTCAGATCCGCAGCTGTTTTATTCCTGTGCGTAAATGTCTCTCTCGGTGCCGAGCCTCTGTGGAGCTGAGCTGGAGCTGAGCTGGAGCCGCTGTTACTGAGATGAATGCCTGTACACCAGTGAGGTGACATCACATTCAAGACCAACCCATTCCTCAACTTTGAGGAGAGAGAGAGAGAGAGAGAGAGAGAGAGAGAGAGGTCCTGGACAGAAAATACATTTTATGTTGCCTTTATGTCGCATAAAGTTGCCTGAAATAATAATAAAACAATTATAATAATAAAATAAAAATAATAATAAATATTATTATTATTATTATTATTATTATAGAAATAACTTTTATTTTATGTTACACCCAGGGCAGGTGTGCAGTAAATGGGAGCTGAAATGCTGCCATATATTCACCCACAGGCTTGGATGGGAATAAGAATAAAGACAGTAACTGGTTTAACATTATTAACTAAACTAAATCCTACACTGTCCATGTAATGCATAAATACATTTATTTATTAGTATTTAATTATTTCATTCTTTTTATTTATTTGTTTTATTTATTTTATTAAGTTAGAAAGGACACTTTATTCGTCCTAAAATTGCTGTGACTGGCAACATGGATTTCTAAATCTTTCTCTGGCCTTAAGTAGGCCTACACGGGACTATTTATGAGAAATAATTTTTTTTTTTTAAATTTCATGACCACAGTCCAGTCAAGATGTAACTTAATTTTGTTGTTTATATGCAGCCTCACTCTTCTCCTTTACTTTAATCCATAATTGTTGTAGGTGTCAAGGATGAGATCATGGAACTGTGTCTGTTTACACTGGGGAAGCAGCAAAATACCACAAAAACGACACACGAAGAGACGAACGTGACCCGTGACCAGAGGAGATGGACCGGTGAGTGGAAAAATATGTTCAGATACTAAGATGTTCTGCTACTGATTATATTATATTATATTATAAAATACATTTTAAATTGTAAAAAAAAAAAACCAACCCAGAGTGAATAGCATTTGGGAAACCCTGTGTTTGGAGGATTTACCGATGGCTTAATGCAGCATGAAGGCTGCAGACATTCATGTAGGCTTATGTGTGTGCCTCTGAATTTACCCATGAAGATGACTTTGGAGGCTGCCTTGGAATAAAATAGAAGGCTTTGCTCAGAGGTCCTGACTATAGACCATGTATAACAATTGAACGTAAGAAAATAATGGAGAAGTAAAACAGAAACGCAGCGTCCTTGAAAGTAGCTGCTACTAACGAGAGGCTTTTCCCCTCCGTACTGTAATCTTAATACACATATTCACATGATGTTGTGGTCCTAGTAATAATCTTTTGGAACCATTTCCGGCACAGCAGAATGGTTAGGAATTCTAAAAAAAAACAACGAAACAAATGTTACATTTTTCTCCTCTTTTCTTATCTCTCCTCTGCGTGGCTCTGATGTCAATCCTCAAAGACACCGACCGAGTCAGTGGAGATCATCTAAAGGGTGAGTGTCACCATAAATCACTGGTCTGCTGACGTTCCCTTCAGGGTTTACCTGCTCTACACAATATCTGACCTTTTTGATCCAGCGTCCTCCAAAACACACAGGTTTTTATTTTCTTGTTGTTTTTTTTATATGTGCAGGAGAAAACAATGTTGTTGGGTCTGATTCTATGACCTGCAGTGAACCTGAGAACTATCCAATTATTCTAATTACACATGAGCCCGTCTTGTTATGAAAATCACTGATTGCGAATGCAATTACACAGACTAGTGATTTGTGTTTTTTTACAGCTTTTCTGAAAAATAATTATAAATACATATTTAGACATTTTGTTGATGCCAAGCTGTCTCATTTGTTGTTAAATTACGATTCAATGACTGATTCAGACTAATGAAAACCTTTTGTAATTACGCAACTGTAATATTGAAAATAATCACACTTGGCTTGTTCCCTTCTTCAAAGGTGGCCGTAGCAGGTAATTTGCATTATGATGTTGGCATAGTATACACACCAGATGGAAGTCTATCCTGAAGAAACCTTTCTCAATAATCTGGGTTCAGGACTGGCTGGATATTAACGTGTGCAGCTGGATTCCTATCTGAGCCATCTTGGTGGAAAACCAAGTTTCTGCCTTGGGGGTTACATCCACAACACCAATCATAGCGGGAAGAAAAACTAGCGGTTATCCTTAGTAATATATCTATATATATATACAATAATATATATCTAAAAATCTATGACCACCCTAAAGTACTGCCACTGACCACCTCGGGGCTGCAGACCCCTGGTTGAAGACAACCTCTGCACTATTTAATTTAAATTAGTACAAGAACGACTACTCTCCATTTTTGGGGTGGTTTGGCAACAAAATATCCTGTATTTATAAATTATCCAAATATCTTTTTTTTTATATATTAACTGATGCAATCGTCTTTATATCCAGCCCAATAGCTGTTGCATCATGGGAAACAAAAGACTTTTCTTACTCAGGGCCACAACAGTTCGCAGCTGTACTTGACCTTGCTCACTATCCCACAGCCACACTGATCCTTGTCTATTATGCACCACGTAACATGAATGTGTACTGCAAATATTGTGTACTACACATAAATAATTTAATATACAAACACCTCATGCATCTAACATACATTTACATATTGTGTGCTGTTTACATTAGACTGAGGCGCCATTGAAACCATCCTATTGTTTACTGTACATTTAAATAGAACTCTTTCGTTGAAACACTTGTTTTATTTGTGGCCTCATTAAACTGCCGATAAAAACAATCACACACATTTTCCTGCCGGCCAAATGGGCTTTCTATTCCCAGCAATGCAACAATAACCAGAATCCTGTTGCTTAGGATCCGACTTCCTGTTATGAAGCTGTCATTGCTGATACAGTGGGGTGGTTATATACAAGACTGATTAGTGCGGCAAAAGGATTAGGAAATTACACAGACGCTGTGTCTGAAACAATAATTATTCAGGCAGCTGTGTGTTCAAATGATCCTTTCACCATCTATACTCATTTAGAATCTTTAACCGTGGTAATAAATATCCATTACTTTTACTTAATCCTTTTCAGGGTCACAGGGAGGAGGTTGAGGCCAGTCCCAGTTGTCATCAGGCGGGGGCGATGTAAACAATGGCAGTCCACCTCCGGGCCTCATACTGAGACAAACAACCATTCACACTTCTTCCTATTCATAAGTATTTAATTACCAGAATCAACCACGGACCATTGACCAAAAAGCAGGCAACCGTGGTCATGCTCCACTGTGCCACAGGACTGTACGCCAATTAACCATCGTTTGACCCATAAACAGAGAGAACTTTCCACTAACTTTTTGAATCAAACAATGTTAAAACCAAGGTCAAACAATGTTAGAATTGTGTGACAATAAAAGTTTTTTTATAAACATATTTCTTAAAATAGTCAGGTTTACTTATGGTCTTAAAATGCTAAGCTATAGGGCTAACTTTATACCTTGTTGCACTGTCATATTTAATTTTTAACAGACCATAGCTTCTTAACTGAAATTATGTTCTTTAATTATGTTCTTTTTATTTTTTCAATTTTGGAACATATTTTGCCCATACAAAAAAAATCAATTTTTCTTAATGCTTAAAAACAAGCTAACGTCGCTAACTACTTAGCTTCTTACTTATTATTTATTATTAGGGTTTACAACAACAACAACAAAACAATCTTTATACTATTTTTCACTGCATGCAGAAACTCCCAACACATGACTCAAAACAATGTTAAAATTGTATGTTTTAAAACAGAATAGTGTGTTACCTGTAGGGGTCAGTTATTCTTCTTCTTCTAAGCTACTGTTGCTATTTACTTAGCTGCATTATTCAAGTTTTTCCATTGCACACTGAAGGCTTTTAATGATTCCATGTTTCCTAGTTTTTTGGGGTTTTTTTCACACTAACTCCACCTTTAAATTAAATCAGCTCATCATTCGCTGGTGATTCAACCACATGTTCATTTGCCAGTTGGCAATGTTCTGACTGGTGAAATGTTAGCCCTAATCACTGCTCCCAGACATTCTTCATTAACAGTGATTATTTGAAATGTTAGTCAAACTCCATTTCCCTGCCAACATCTACACTTTTAATAAGCTTAACACACACACACACACACACACACACACACACATTTCACACCTTCCTGGGTGATGATATACTCGTCGATGCTTTGCTGCGGAGAATGAAACAGAGCGTGGAGGAGAGACAGGCAGGAAACTAACAAGAGATGCTCGTGCTCTTGTGATTCGTCGCCTTTAAAAGCGTAAGAGTTATGGTTGGAAATATGGTGTGGTAACATACAGTATGTGATCATGTTGATTACACTGTTTATTCACCAAACACTATTCCATACAGGGTAAGAGAGAAATAGGTAAGAAAGGAGCTACAGAGAGCACCTGACGGCCGTGTCTCAATCCTCTTACCTTGCTGTTTTTTTTTTTACCTGGATGACTGTAAATCCCACTGCTGTCTTATATAACACTCCAGGAATAAATGGTTGAAGGTGCTGTGTGAGAACCACATCTCTGGTGACAGCGATTTGTTAAAGCAAATATTGTCCTCAGAGAATCCTGCCTGTAGACTTTCAGTGTCCACAGGCTGAGATGGTTACTTAAATACTGCATAAATCCATAGCGCTGTCTATGTGTGTGTTTGTGTGTGTTCTGTTGTTGTGTGTACTGTGAGATAGAGTACCAGGGGACACACTGTGTGTCAGAACCAGCTTTCCAGTCTAGATAAATGCATGGCTGCTGACCTTTGGGACCCAAACAAACAACATTTTTCTCAGTTTTTCCTACGCCTCAAAAAAAACCTCCATGGACTTAAAAAAAAAAGAGGAAACACTTTTTAACTGTCAGAGCTAACGAATCCCTGAAGGTCACAAATGTCACCACATTCCCAAAGAGCTGCACATGAGTTTTCAGCCCACGTTTTGAAGTGGGGTGGTAATGTTAATTCGTTTGTTATAAAGGAATATGAAGTTTCTTCTTTATATTACTTTTTAAATTTGTGAATATGCATCTTTTTTAAAAAAATCTCACATGATTAAAACGTCCTAGAATACATTCATACTGTGAACTCATCAGCTCGTTTCTTTTGCTGCCTTTTGAATCTGAATGTGTCGAAAAGGGTCTCCGTCTTTGATGAGGAGCAGTGACACTTGTGTACAACATCCATCCAGAGGAAGGAGCTTTAAAATTCACTTCCATGACCACGGAGAATTGGCTTCCTACAAAACAACTCTTGGTTGAATTAGTTCGCCTTCATTTCAGTTTCAGAAAAAACGAAAAATCATTGAATCTGGTGGAACGTCTTTTATTGCTTGGTTCAAAGCTTGGGGGGGGCGGGGGGGGCCTCAACAGCTGCCTGACTAAAAAGTAGCTCTGGATGGAGAGATGGTGTGAAAAGGTACTTTATGAAATGTACCAAAAATCTTTTTTCATTTGCTGTATTTTGGGCTGTAGTAACGTGACAGAGACTGAGGGGAGTTTATGCTTTGATCACACAGTAATGTTTTTTATACAATCGTAAATATAATCTCAATAGCAAAGTAGATGTGGATTAATGATTCATTGAGATAAATCAACGTTCCTATATATAATTTTAAAAGAATTCTGACTAATCTATATAATACAGAATAATGGAATAATGCCAAATAAAATATGCAAAATTTATAAGAAAATTCTTCCTCTTCCTTTGTTTTCTTTTGAGCATCATAGAGTTTGTGGTAGTGTCCAAAAATCATCGTCACCAACTGACTCTGTGACTCTGAGAGAAACGGCCGAAGTTTTTCTTTTTCCTCATCCATTAGTTCTAATGGTCGGGGCTAACGCTGCGTGACCTTTCGTTCTGCTATGACTGGCCTTCAGCTGTTTATACACTGAATGCGTTTTCACTCTTTTATTTGCGTCCTGTTTCAGGGAGTATTATACGACCACAGCCATTGTATTTTCTATTCTGGAAATAATGCCTTTTCTCTACGTTGACCTGATTATAAGATGCTGCTCTAGGCTTTTTCATATTTTTGTTTTGTGAAGACATTCAGGCCTTTAAGGTTTGACTACACTGGGCTGGCATGTCAAAAGTCAAATTAGACACAGAGGACAAATATATTATATTATATTAGTGAATAAGATGACATTTCATCCAAAATCTTAATATTAGGGTCTGATTCAAACAATGAGTGAAGTCACTGAAATTACATCATCGCTCAACAACTGGACGGCTCTGATATGTCAGAGTCAGTTATCGTCAGTACCTGATACTCATTTAGATTCTCACTGGTTTCCTTTTTGTCATCGAGCAAACGGTTCTAGAACTTCATCTGCACCGTTTGGCTCTTGTCAGAGTCCGTTGTTTCCAAACTTCAGCTGGGTGCAGAGTTAGTATTCAGGCTGCTCTGCATCCAGTCAGCAGATCAAGTTTCATTAGAGCAGGCATTTTGAATTTGACTTTGACCTTGATCTGTGTAATTTAACCCCAGCCTTCTTAATTGAGATGTTGTTCTGTTCATTACCCCAGAAAATGTTTATCTGGGAGCTTTTTCCTTCCTGCAGCCAACTGATGTTTTAGTTTATTTATTGTTTGAAAGTGAGTTTCAATATAAACTTTAACAGCGTGCTCTCAGATTTGATTTCACAGGTTTATCCCTTATCTACTTTAAAAATTCAATATTTTGGGAATTCATTTCAATTAAGTCATTGTTTCCCAAAGACTGGGTGGTGACCCTCAGGTGGGTCGCAAGAGATTTTTTTGGGGTCGTCTCCCATCATGTCTCCCAAGAGTTTACGAATAATTTCTATTGACTTGGGTTTGTGACTTTTAAAATATGGGTGAAGCTAATGTTAGCTTTGTTGCCCATAGCAACATGTGGTGTTGAACTAAGACTGTGTGCGTTAAAAAAAAAAAAATCTCCATTTGCCCAAAACCATAAGGTTTTCCACTGGTAAATTGATTTTATTTTATTCTTCACCCAAAAAGCTGGGTGCTAGGGTCACTCAGTTCTATTTTACTCCTGCCAAAGAAACATAAGGTCCATTACCGCCCCCTATGGGACAGGAGTATGTGTATCACTGTTTTTAAATGTATAACCGTGTTTGTAATTAATCCCAGCACTAATTACCAGTGACCTCATGTAAATACTTTTTGGAGGAAGTCAAGCGCAAATTTCCAGATCAGTGATCGACCGCACGGTTTTTATTGTCTAACGATTAATTAAAAGATCTGTAAAACGCTCCTCCGCTCCTCCCAGAGTTGAGGACCAGTTCCAGATGTTCCTACCTCATCATAGCCAAATTAATAGGGTCAAAGTTGTAAAATGTAAAAAAAAAAAAAAACTTTCTAAAAACAAAAACACATAGTTGTGTTGCAGTGTAATTTCTTTCAGTGTTGCAGCATCTCCCCACTCTCTCTGGTTTCTCTGTCAAGTAGTTCATGTCTTCACAGCTGTCCAGCAGACAGCCATCAGCCTGCCAGAGTCACAGAGTCACTGGGCTCTGGTCCACCATCATCTTCCTCTGTCCGTGGAGCTGGCACGCTCTGCCAGTCAAGTCGGCCTTGTTAGGATTATTATGCTTCCTCACAGCCACAGCCAAACCTTCCTGAATGTGATGGCAGAGTGGAACAGGCCAGGAGGCAGGCGTGTTCCTAACAACTCAGAACTCCGTCGTGGACAGAGACTGGAGAGGAGGTTCTTGGACACCTTCCAGACAGAAGCCCTCCGTCACCTGTTCGTGTCACACTCCCTTTACCATAGGATGTTTCTGTTGTGACAGCTGACACAGATTGGTATAGTTACCTGATGCTAGTCTGTCCGTCTCTCTCTCTCTCTGTCCCTCTCTGTCTCCCTTGGTCTCTCCCCACTCCACACTGTTGTCACATGCCATTTACATGAGTGGTGACATTCTCTGCCTCTACCATCTGCTTTGTGAGAGCTCCTTGTCCTCTGCCTTGCTGTTTTTTTGTTTTTTTTAACTGACCAGTTTGGCTCTCTATTTTTTCGAAATCACACACAAAAACCTCCCAATAACTTCCAGGTTAATAAGCTGGTGAGGAGACATTCTTTGTAGATCACATGAGGATTAACTTTGGAGGAATGAGGATTAGATGATAATTAAGTTTCAACTCCAACCTGAAGGTTTCTACGCTATCTATTAAAACTGCATTAGAATTTGGCAAACGACGGCGGCTTGAAGAACAAGTTGAGAGTCGTTTTCTTTTTTTATATTTTAGAAAAAACATGGCATGACAATATGAAATTAAATTGAGAACCACTGGTCTAAGGTTTTGGTCTAAAATAAGTGAAGTAACTTCATTGTCTTGTTATCAGTTCATTACAGGAACCAGGTCATTAATGGATGAATAAAGATATGGAACAACATAGAACTGATTCTGAATGAATTGACCTCCTGACGAACAGTTTCATGGAAATGTCTGAGCGAATACTTGACGAAACGATGATCTATGAAAAACACGTAAATTATACATTTGGCAGAAAACAAAGGCATTAATTCAGCCTCGTGAATCCAAAGTTCGTCACGACCGTGTCATCGCTCTGACACGCTCAAACTTTTATTCATCACTTTTAGCTTACGTTTCCCTCCGTGCCTCACTTCCTACAGAATGATATTTATAGTCCAGCGAACATTTAGACAAAAGCTAGATTTGCCAGACGGCCTGTCTCCGAGCATGAATGACACTGATTGCACACTTGCGACGATTGAGTGTTTCTTGGATTTGTTGTTTGTTGGACAATTGTTTATTTAAATATTATTCATTTTGTGGTGAATGTGACGAGACAGCAGATGTGCCCTCGGACGTACTGCTGCGGGAGGTGTCGGCTAACTCCTCCGATGGTGTCACAGGGAGCTCACAGTGATGACAGCAGTAAGTCACACTGACTGGGTGTCGTTGACAATGCTAAACCAGTCAGGTCTGGTTACAGACGTTAAAGAAGTAAACTAATGGAGTGCTGATGGGATCATTCAGAGGAGGATGTCTCCACTTGATTTTCTTAGCAACTTGTTGTCTCAATTAGTTAATTGGTTAATACGTTGTTTTTATATCGATGTTTAAATGTATGTTTTTTAATAGTCTGTGTTTACCTGAAAATGGGGCAGCTACTTGGAAAGGCCAATATTTCTGAAAGCGATGTACCGTGTTAAAAGGCCAGAACCACAGATTTGGTGACAAAACCTGTAGCAGATATGGGAGTATTCTGTGTTTGATGACGACTGGACCATGCAGTAAGATTAGTCTTGAGATTTAATCACCCCCCATTCTTTTGTGAAAACAAATTACTTTTTTTTTTACTACACTTGAGTGACTTTAATGCATTTTGACTTGTACATCACACATTTTTTATAGTCTGGTCTAAAAGTGGCAGGAGGTTTCTTTCAAATACAACCCAAATCCAATTTTTTTGAATTATTCATCACCATAGCAGGCTTCACTGCCAGTGTCAGAATGTGGGTGTCTCTGTCCTTTGTCACTGATGTAATCTGATGCCCCAAAGGGAAAGTAAAGAGTTGGAAAAAAAATATTTAGATTTTGTGTGCTGTTGGTGTCGTCTATATACTCTATATATAAATATGGATGAATACAATCTATTGTCTAAATAATCCAATTCAGACAGAATATTTACCTAAACTTATTTTTTTCTTGGCTGTCAGTGTAAATCAACAGATTTAGACAAAAGTAAAAGAACTTAGACCACTGTCTGACTGATTCTCATTGAACTGTCCTCCAGTGGACCCCAAGCAAACGTATGTAAAGTAGTAAATAAATCAGAAGGCAGCACGCACCAGTGTCACCTTGGGAATAATATATACATGAAACATTTTACTTTTCATTTATTCTTTCATTTTATCCTGTTAAGAGATGATGAGGGACCTGGAGCCAATTCCACCTGTCATTGACCCACGAGACTGTACACCCTGTCCCACAGCTGCATGTCTCTGGATTAGAGGCAAAGACAGAGTATGTAGTATGGAGAGTCTAGTTGGAGGGAGCCTGCACTTTTTGTCTTTTTTTTTTTTGTTGTTGCTGTAATGCAAACGCATCTAAACATCACGAAATGACGTCTCAAAATGGTCTGTATTTTAAATATTGCCCTCCTCGTTCTGTTAAACACTCAAAGTACTTAACACTACAGGTTTTGTCATCTACTAACTAAAAACGAAGGCTGCCAGTTGGCCAGCACGTAAAGAACGAAAAGTGTGGAATTCATCCAACAACCCACTATCCGGTGACCATGGCAATTAGTATCTACTTCAAAGTCTGCTTTAACAAAATATATTTTTAAATATATTTAATTTAATTTTCAAAACAAACTTTTTTTTTGCGAAGCCAGCTGGCCTTACATGAGACACCGCCGGATCTAAATTGCGAGTCAGTGCAGTCATGTTGTTGCCCACCTTTGAAAACACAAACCTGTCGATCTCTCTGTGTGTTCATCCTCTCGTGTCCATATATGGTCAACAGCGAGCCTAAAGAGCTTTGTTGGAAACTCCTGCATAGCGCTCTCTCTCTCTCTCTCTCTCTCTCTGCCTCAGTCTAATTGAACT